GGCTAGATACAAAGCTCTGAATGTCAGCAAAAGGATCAAAGCGTGCTTTCTTGGTTGGCTGAGTGTAATCATCTTCAACATCCTGCTGTGCTGATGTACTGAAATGATGAACAAAAAAAATGAAAATAATTGTGTAGAGAAAATAGTGAAATTAAAATATGTAATATGCAGAATTATTCTTGGTAATGTATGACACAATATTTGTCATCTTAACATATCTACAATATCAACAGAATAATTCAATCTAACCCAGCAACTCTCGACTCCGTTCCAGCAGCATGTCTGCGCTGACGCATCTTGTTAGCAACAAGATCCAACTCTGTCATCATCCAAACATCCAGATCAGCCATCAAGTTGCGTTTAAATTTTTTCTCTTCGGCTGAAATCTAAAAAGAAAATCAAGTTAGTTTAGTTAATGTCATTAGGAATATAATAATTACTACTATTATACCTGAGGTATGAAGTCAAACTTCTTGAACGATGGATCCAAAAATGATGCCATCCAATGTAAGGCAACAATAGACTGCCAAAACTTTTCATCCATATATTTTATCAGATTATTTTTAAAAGTTTTCATTGGAAGCGAGTCTCGAACAGCAGGGGCAAACTTCTTTATTAGTAGATAGTATGATGGTCCTATGAGGTTCAAAGTTGGCTCATCAACCTTCTCCAATGTCTTGAATATATCTGAAATTGCTTTTGTTATATCGCAAATTTCTTTGTTAAATGTTCTGTTGACACACGCAATAAGCTCTAGACGATTTTTGGCTGTCAGAACAGTAACTAGTTTTTCATAGCTAGCTTCTATAGCTTCAGAACGACGATGCATTGACACCCAAGGCCTCGTGTCACCTCCATGCTTTAGTGACTTGGGAAGCTGCTCTTGAATGCCAACTGACTGCTTTGCAAAGCGGCATAGTTCACTAACTGCAGTTTCATATGATGCAGCCTCTGGCTCTTGCCGTCTAGTATCATTCCAAGCAAACGTTAGGACAGCGTGCAAGCGATGACACATGCAGTCAACTCGAACCCCACACTTCAATGCAGCAACGATATTTGAGCCGTGATCAGTAGTGAATGGGACTTCATCAATTGGTATTTCATATTCACCAAGGATGTTGCTCATGACAGTGTATATATTTTGTGCAGTGTGTGAAGAGGTTCCGAAGTGACGAACGGCAAGTGCTGCATGGTGATTTGTAAAGTCACAATCAATCCAGGAGCAGTGCACATCTAGGTATGACTGTTTACGAAAGTCGTCTGTAAACATATCAATACACAACGACACACTGCCATCCTCTATCGGATCTTTAAGCCGTTCAGCAAGTTTAGTTACAACTGAGGCTGCAACTGATGTTGCATCACGACTCACGGTTTTTCTTCCCACAACAACGTCAGAAACATCAAACTTTCCATATTTGGCACCTAACTCAACACAGCTCTGCATCAAATTGAGAAGCCCTTTATTTTCAACAGATTTGAATGAGTGGTAACCATCAACACAGAAAAAGATCTGTCTATGCTTCAACATCGTTAATTCTTGAGGAGACAGTTGAATTTTTCGTTTCAAGCATTGCTGGATTTTCAACTGTGACTTTGGCAAGACTACAGCACAATGTTTGATATGTTCTTGCTGATTTTTAGTGCCAAAGTTTTTACCTGATGAATCTTTAAACTGATATACCTTATTGCACTTAATACAAGCACAATAGTAATTCACAGGAATTTCGCTATCATCATTTTCCTTTTTTTGAAAAACCATGTGAAATTTCTGCCAGATTTCTGATTTTAAATTTGTGGGTGCTTTTAATATAAACCTCCCTGTTTTTTCTGGAAAGAATAAATATTTAAATACTTAAGTATGTTCAATCAATCAATTAAATTTATCTAATGAATGTGATTTCTAAACTTCAACAGCACCCAACTAAAATTTGAAAAATAAACCATTTCTAGGTAGAAAAAAGAAAGAAAATGAAACATGAATATCAAGTAAATAAGTAAAATGAGCAATTGAGAAAAAATTCTGATACCTGTAAAGACTGAAGAGATTTGAAATTATGAAAAATAACAATTAATTCTTTAAAGGAATTAAAACATAAAAAATGTAAAAATGTTAATGTGAAATTTATTACATTTTTTACTTTCGCAAACTTAGCAAATTTAAATCACACAAACCTCTCAAATGACGCTGAATTTCTTCTGATTCTGCCATACTTGTAAATAAAACAAATTTTCTCGATCAGAAAGAAGTTAACTTTTGCTCAACTCAATAATCACAAAAAGAAAGTGGAAACGATAGACCAAAGATACAATAATATTACAGCGATATAAAATACACCGATTATTAACTAGTTAAAATGTTCGTTTAAGAATAAAAAAAATACAGAAATAAATTATTTATAATAAAATTTGAAAATTTCAACCCAACCCAACCCACGCAACTTTAAAAAATTTGGACCCAACCCAACCCAACCCAACCCATGGGTTAACCCAACCCATGTCCACCTCTGATCCATACATTGCCTAAATTATGTGCGGAGATTTGTATACATAATACATATACATAATATGTATACACACACACACCACACACACACTCATGTGTAGATATATATAACGAATGTGTAGTATATGTAAGTAACAGAGACCATAAATCATAGGGAGTATTAAAACGTTGCGAACGTACAATTTAAAAATAGATTGAAACATGTTCAATAGATACGATTTAGCATATATTTATAAAAAGAATATATATATGGATGAAAACTTATAGGCATAAATACATTTATATATTCAAAAGTTTGTATACCATACGGTTTTATGCAAATTTAAAAACAAAGATTATGCACACACACACACGAACACACACACACATATACACGCACATTTAAATGAATGCACAAACATATACATAATATGTATACACACACACACCACACACACACTCATGTGTAGATATATATAACGAATGTGTAGTCTTTTTCACATGTACCTCATCTGGTTTTTGCTTTTTTAATTCATCCCCGGCATCGGCACGATAGGCTGGATAATTGATGGAGGCCGTTAATAATAATTACCATCATTCTTCTTCAGATTCATATCGGTGGTGGTTTGATGGGTGGTTGAGTGGATGGATGGATGCAAGGTAGATTGATGCTGGGTGAAGAAGGGATAGATAAATGGATGAATGAATGAGTGAGTAGATAAATAGATAAAGGTGGATGAAGTAAAAATATATGGACAGATGGATGGGTGATTAGATGCTGGATGAATGCATGAATAGATGAATAGACGGTTGAGTTAGTGGATAAGCAGACGGAACAAGATAATTTTAATGATAATTCTCTATTATTTTGTTAACAAATTATGAACACGTCAATATGCTTGAATTAAATAGTTGGAAACACTGAAAAAAAATATTATCAAGACCTTATTTTTTTATTTTCTTTCTAAAAAATAAATTAATTGTACATATGGGAACCTGCGAATCAACAACAGCAACGTCAAACTGGCAATCAGTTGGCTACACATAAATTTCTAGACTGAAAGACAGCAAATATCGCCACCGACAGCTTATCGTATGCTGGAAAAAGCAACAACTCAAATCTAGACAATATTCAACTAACGGACACTATTTTTAGTCTCGAACTACAAGAGAAGCAGGTGTTGGCGTCATGGATACCGATACACTGCGGTATAGAGTAAAACGAGAGAGTGGACAGATCAGCCCTAGAAGAACCCTTCAACCAGAATTAGAATCCAGCGCTAGGGGTATCAGACAAATGATTGAAGCAGAATTAGTACCACTCAAACAAATCATCTCTGAAAAAACCAAAAAAATATATGTCAAAGTATATGTTAAAGAAATAAGAAACAAAGAAGAAATTTTGGATAAAAAAATCAAAACTGATCTAAGCAGATTCAGGACCGGACACCTTCTGGCAATGAAAGGCACGCATCTGACTCACCACGGAAAGCACAATGTAGACTATGTGAAGAAGAAGATGAAACTTCCTCACACCTGTGGTTGAGATGTCTAGTCATATTGCATATAAGGCAAAGACATGGCATGGGAAAACAGCTAGAAGAACTTACTGAACGTCCCCAGGAGGCGGTGAAGATGGCGTTGGAAATCTTCAAAAAACTAGAGGCGGTGAACAAATGATCCAGGATCGATTGAGAGACTATTACAAAAACAACAACAGCAACAACTCATCCACAACATATCAACTAGCCTATCTGCGGTTTCAGAGACAATAGTTATTTTTAAAAAATTCAATTGCTATCGACAAGTTAGTATTGTCATAATGGTTGCTATTGTTATTTGTTCAGTTATTGTTTATCCAATATTTTAACTTTTTATTTAAATCTTGTTATATTTATTGTTTGGATACTGGGATTGGTGATGGAATGACTGCCAACCTACCACTCCAGTGCTCACACCAACCTGCATCATTGCAATGCTACCGTGATTGCTTCTGCGGTCTTGTTTATATTTAAAATTTAAATTTCCACGCTCATCTTCCGTGTGAAAGCATTCGCCTTTTTCGTGTCCTCGTAATCTCTATTGTTTACTGTTTGATGTTGTTTCGTTTTGTTGGTTGTGCTCATGATGTTATGTACATTTTGTTAAGTTTATTTATGTTTATTTGGATTATTAAAATGTATACTTTCTTATTTTCGCTGCAAGTTATTTTTGGCAACTTTTTTAAAAGTTGGCGGCTATTGTTAGTTTTTCATGTGAATTCATTTTATTCTTCTTTCTTCAGTTAGATAGTCTCACTACTTTTGTGATTTGTCGTACTGTGCCTGTTGCTGGTTTTAATTCTTTGTTGGTTGTAGTTTTTTACTTTTTGCTGTTTGATTTCGTTGCTTGTAATTTATTTTTGTGCAGTTTGAAGATTTTTTATGTAGGTTTTGTTGATGAATAGTTATTCTGAACAAATTACTTTACGCTGCCCCAATCTCAAAACTAATTTGTAAAGTGGTTCAAAAACAACAAAAATATGCTTTTCAGATTTTTTTCTTGAAAATAAAAAACTACTTTATATTCGGCAGTTGAAAATTCTTTTTTGCAGAGAGTTGTAACGTTTCCTGATGCATCTTCTTCCATTGAAACTTCTTCACGTCAGATGATTTTTATATGGTTCTTTGCGTTTGACATATGGTACATTTCATCGTTGTGTGCTAATGTCGTAAGTCGATATACACTTCTGGCTGAAGTTTTAATTTGACGTAAGTTTTGTTTTGTTGATGATGTTACAGATGATGAGGAGGTTGATAGTTCCTTGATGGTTCCTTGATGGTGTTGTTGACGAAGGTGATTATGATGATAATGATGATGTTTAGTTTTTTTCATACTATTTTGTTTATAATTCTTTGTTATTTTTCTCATTCCAAAAATGTTATCGTATTATCACGCTATCGCTACTGTATTCTGCACTTATGAAAACACTTCATTCTTTTGTGGCACAAAGTTTTAGTTATAAGCATAAAATAACACGTAAGCAGTTTTGCGTTTGACAGTTCTACATTACAAAAAATCTAAAAAATCAGTCACTTTATTAGGGCTGTTTCGATTGGAACTGTGTTCATGCACGTAATATCATCGTTAATTATGGTGCCTTTTTAATTATATTTTTAGCGCAATAGGTTTGTTGGTTGTGTCTTGAGAATTAAAATATACTGTTAAGTTTGACTTTTTGTGTTGATGTTTGTTCACAGCCATGCAACGTTGTTGATTGTCTTCATTTTTTACACTTTTGCTGATGTGCTCGTTGAAAACAACGAAAGACACGTCCACGTCAGATCGATGAAGATGAGGTAACATCATTCCAGCCCCTTTTAAGCAATCGTTCACGTAATAAAAATTTGTCCATTGTTGTGTTAGTATTTTTGAATTTGTACTTCTAAAAAATAACAGAAAAAGAACTCAAACCACGAGGCATGCTTATGATTTTAAGTCGTCATTTATTTCGCTTAAGGACTATTTATTCATTTTTTAGCATTCTTTGTCATATGTTCGAGAGTAGAATGTCTAAAGCAAAAAAAAAGTTGGAATTGAATAGAGTGAAAAGAAGAGAAAGCAATCATGGGTATGAGCAACTTAATTTCAACCAAGATGGACTTCCACGAATCAATTCTACTCCAGTTTGCAGACTTACTTGCGTTTGAATGTTGTGATGATATTATCGTGATGTTGTTGTTCGGATGTTATTAGGATGTTGTTGTAATGTTTTGGCAATTGAGACGTTATTGTAGATTTTGTTGCGCTGTTATGCTGGGGTTGAAGTTGTTTTCGTTATAATATTTTGTTGAAGTGTTGATTTGTCGTTTATTTAATGTTGTTACTAAATGTTTATGTTAAGCCATTGTCAATGAACAGGAACACCAAAATGAAATATGCTTGTCGTTCTTCTTTTGATTCCACACTGGTAGTTGTTAAATAGATTTTTGTTGATGTTATATATAGCTGATAAGTGTTATATAGATATTGTTATTTTACAGTTAATTGTTATATTGATTTTTAATATTGTTGTATATTTCTTGTTAACGTTTTATATTTCTAGTTAATGTTTTGTTGTTCTTGCAAATGTTTTCAATTTATAGTTTTTGTTACACACCAGAGCACATGCAAACCTGAAATTTACATCTCGCCTTCACAAACTTTTTTTGCGTTCAAATTTATCACTTGCTAATTTTTTGTTCTCAGTTGTGTGCGTTCGCATATTTTTATTTTTATAATTGAAATTTTTAACGCAAAAAACCCGGTTGAACGTTTTTATTCGAAATTACAAAAAAAAACTGATTCATTATTTCAATCAACTTTTAAAATGCCAACAATGGCTGACAATGGAAAACCAACATTTTTTGTTTCTTTCTATTTGTTGCAATTTTATAAATTTTTTAATCATATTTTTTTTATTGCTTTTGATTAATTTTTTTCAACTTTTTCATTTTTATTATTAGGTTTTTGACCAATTTTAATTTTTAAATAACTTTAAAAAGAGTTTTATAATAAAAATCCATTCATATATAATTTTCGAAACAATCATAAACAAATTAAAATAACAAAAATATTCATAAAAATGTTTCTATAAAATTTATTTTACTTTTGTTTTGGTATATTTGAAAAGTGAATGTGACGGTGCTGAAGTGCACTTGCGTTGATTATTTGATTATTCAAACAGAGGCGTAACCAAAGGAGGAGCTTTAAAGTTGATAATAGAGTTGAAAATTCAACTAAATCTTTTGCAATGTTTTAATAAAACAGCATTTTTTGCAAAATTTGTATAAAAAATGCAATTTTCAAATATGAATAAAAGACACAATTTTCGATAATGAAATCTTGAAAAAAAAAACGTGGGTTAAGCTTATAAAGGTTGTCAACCTTTTTAAAAAAATTCCTGTCTCCCTCCCACTGAACATTTCTGGCTCCGTCAGTGCATACAAACATATACGTAAACACAAACATTTTTTCGTAAACATATTCAAACATGTTATTGAGTAAAATAAAAAAATTGAATTCGCTCAAATATTTTTACAAATTCAGAAAATTTCCCAGAAATTCGCACAAATATTTATGAAATATAAAAAAGTGTAATGAAACAATTATGAAATAAAATATTTTTGTCAATAAATATATGAGTCGAAAAAACATTTCAATTTAATCAAATCAATCAATCAATTAGTTTTTAAAGCGTTATTTCCGCGATGTTCAACAGCACTCCTTAGTGAATTTTACAAACAAATTGGTCTTGAGATCCGTTCTGAACTTCGTAAATGATGGAGAAGTAGTCCGAGAAGGAGGTAGAGAGTTCCAAAGAAAAGGGCCAAAAAAAGCAAATAGTGTTTAACACGAGTTAAAAAGATGTGAGAACAAGAAGAGAATCGTAAACCGTTTAGGTTCAATTGATATATATGATTATGTATTTTGAGTAAAATAGCTTCAGTGCTGTGAGCAAGAAACCGTTTATCATTATTTTGGCCAAAAAAATTATTACCAACCATTTAGAACAGTGGTTGTGTGGGTTTAGATTTGTTGAAAAATAAGAACGACCAATTTTTGCTCATCATGAAATTTTTATCAAATTTTGATATATTAAAACTAGTTATTTTGTGCAAAATTTAATTCAATTTTATTTTTGTGATGTGGAGAAGTTGTAGTACCTTTCAGTTTTATTTCTTATTAGTTTACACAGAGATTTCGTTCAATTTAGCCTTACCTCTACGAAGCCATTATATTGCGGGAGACTTCAGCCCCAAAGTCCCCCTGCCTCATCTATTTAGTGAAGTTTCAATCTTTTTCTGCATTTTCAAACTCACAGAAGTCCGTTGGACATCAGTTTGCATGAAAGGAGATGTTTCTGTTCGCTACAACTTTACTGCTTCAATGAAAATTACTTCGTATGTAAACATTTACATTTTTAAACGTGCACATTTGCACAGCCTTGATGTGAACAAATTCAGTTTAAACAACAATTAAAATTGTTTGCTGTTGGACTACGGCAAAATCAAACTTTTAATTAATTAAACTGTTTTTAATAAGTTCAAACAAAAACATTTCCAATAAATAAAAACTATAGACAAATATGAAATTAATGATCTACAGCAATGTTTTCTACGAAGTTTTGAAGCTCGTCATTATTCAACTTAGCAAACGCATTTAAAACGTTTTTTCAATTACTAAGCAAATGTTTAAACAGTAAAAACTAACCCCATACATAAAACTTTTTCTAAATGGAAAAGAATAAAGATAAGGACATAAATACACATACGGAAAAAGCACAAAAACAAACACTACAGAGCTTTAGCACATAAAACGAGGAGCGATCAATGTCCAACATACACAAACATATACATGTCACATACAGGCGAACACTCATACATTCTAAAACAAGCAACCAGAAACATTCACAATACTACACACACTCATGTCTAAACAAATCACACTTACAATGTGTCTTTATGTAGGCGCACAAACTTATTAACACACACACACTCTAAGAAAAATACAAACACACAAACAAGCAAAGCGGTTCTCTGTGGAGTATGTACTGGGAAGCTGACAGGTGTTTCAAACGTTTCGTTCGAAAGATTAGACAAATTTACAGATATAAAAACAAAATAAAAATAAAAATCATTACTCGATTGAATTGAAGTTGAAAAATTGATTTGTTGAGTGCATTAAATTCTTTCTTTCAATAGCGTTCCTCATTATGTTGCGCAAACTCAAAGGATACCTGCCTCTTTTCATAATAACGTTCAGCTTAGCACTCAAGCTTACCTGTGCAGTTTCCGTTCATTGGTTTTACTGTTTGCTGTTTTAATGGTATCATTATTTCAAGAACTTTCTCCTCTGTTGCATGCATTGCTTTCAATGTGTTGCACGTTTTGAGATGATGTTCGCTTTATTGTTATATTTGCCCCAAGTAAATTATTACCTAGGCGTCTAATATGGTTGTTGTTGATTTATGTGGCGTCTGCTCAGCTGTGGAGCAATCTCCCTGCAGGTCTGAAGAGATTGGACAACATTTTAAAAGGCGATTTTAAGAAACAGTTTTTCTCTAAAACACACCAAGCAATCTCTTTTGAAGTAACCACACAAAACTTCTGAGGTCTTCTGAATTAACCACAAACTTATGAAATCCTCTGAAGTAACAACACGAAACTTCTGAAGTCTACTGAAGCAGCCACGCAAGACTTTTTACGTCGTCAGCTCTTTGTTATCTCTTTTTATAATCTTTCTATCTCAGTTGTGGCTGTGGAATCTTAGCAGGCATCAAACATTTTTCTGACCGCTTGTTTTGAGCATGTGTGTGTTTTTTTATTTGTTTGAAACAGGATTTAATTCAACACATCCAATCATTATTTCAATGATGTATTTAATTTTTTATTTGCAAATGATACATGCGTCAAGTCACAATGCGTGTTTATTTTGCGTTTATAAGCATAGAAACGCTTTCAATGAATAAAAATACTTGAAATAAATTCAAAAAAATTTTTATTTTAAAATTGTTTAAATAAAATTTTACATTTTATATTTGAGTGGGAAGAAAGCCATTTCTCTATTTTTATAAGTAGAAGCAATAAATAGGAAATTTAACATAAATGGAATTTTTTTTATCGCTTTGAAGAGAAGGATGGCGTGCTGAGGCGAGGTGTCTTCCTTTAAAATTGGCTTCCTTTTAATTAAATCCTTTCAAACAATTTTAAATAAAATAAATAACAAAATTATTTTTTTTTTCAGAATAAATTCTGGAAAATTTTGAATAAATTCTTATTAATTAAAACGCTTCTGAAACTTAAAACAGAAAATATTTTTACGATAAAAAATTGTTTTAATTTGTTTTTGAGGTATAAACTAACAACTTATAAAGTTTTGGCACATTACGTTTATTCATATTTCTTCAGCAAAAAAAAAATTAGGATTTTACATTACGCTCACAAATTTGGCCAAACGTGAATGAAGAAATAAACACAAGCATTTCAAAACTGCTCATAAACTTTAATGAACTTTTGTGAACATTACTAAACATTTCTAAGCAATACTTAACTTAATTAGACATTTTTAAACATTTCTACAAATTATTAAAAGTTCCTTATTCACTTAATATTACTAAACACTACCAAACTAACATTCCTAAACGCTACTAAAATTACTTAGTGCTGTTAAATATTGTTCATAATTTGTTGCTTTTTGTAATATTTCATTTGTAAACAAACTTCGATTAAAATACAAGTATTTGCAGCTCAGAAATACAATTTGTTAATGGTTTTGAAATTCTGTTTGATATGTTTGATAAACAGAAGAGAATTGAGATAGAGTTGACTATGCCATACGAAGAAAATTTTGATACTTTACATATTAGTATAAAGCAATGAATAATTTATTTGTGGTATGTGATTGCATGCATTCGTTTGCTTTTATAATTTCCAGTCTTTCCAAATTTAAAATTCACTTTTTTTTGATAACCTTTAATTTGAGACAACAAATCTCTTTCAAACGTATAATAATACTTCATGGTGATAATGATGATTTGAACAAAACCAGTTAATAAAACAATAAAATATGAGTGCAAATAACCAACCAACCAACCATCCAGCATGCTCATCCCAAAGGCGAACCACTGGCTGTCTGTCAATGCCGACTTGAAGCTCCTCAAATGCGAAACAGTTGAGCGCAAATCAGCTGACCTCGAGTTTGTTTATTCTCAAAATGTTCTATTCAGACCTGAGAAACCTTCTGCTAACAACAGCAGCAGCAGTAACAAAAACAACAACATTAACAGCAACAACAACAACAACATTAACAACATATACAACTGCAGCAACAACACATCAAGCAACACAACAGTCAACACCACAGTTAATTTCAACAGCCTCCCTAACCATGCCATCAACCTGGCCCACCATGCTAAAACCTTGAGAGTCTTCTGCGTCAAAGGGTTAAGGTATGTGATGATGATGATGATGATGGCGGTAATGATAATGACGATGATGATAATGATGATGATGAGGGTAATAATGATGATATGCTAACAATGATGATTTTTCTGATTATGATTATGACAATCACTATCTTTTTTTTTATGTTTTTTCATAATTATTACTGCGGTAAGGATGAGAATGATGGGGACAAGAATCAGTGATGAGACCAAAATTTTGCGATGGGGAGGATGGTATAAAATTATCCGAAGTTGACCACCATCATTTGCTGACTCGCGTGTACATTATTACAACATTTCACATACAATCTTCAACATATTCGTTTTTAATGGTCTGGTAGAGGTCGATGCATCACCGCATTCCCTCCCTAAATTATTCTTGGATCTTCTCTAGATCCTACCTGGATCTTTCTGGATCCTTCCTGTATCTTTCCTGGATCCTCCCTAGATCCTCTCTTGATCCTCCCTGGGTCCTCCACTGGCGAGGATAAAGACGATATCGGAAAATATTTGGAGCAATTATGATTAAATATTTTATAAATATTAAAATTAAGGTGATAACAAAGATATGCGGGGATGATGTTAATCACCTTGATGTTGATGAATAATTTTATTTCAAATGATAATATCGATGATGATGAAAATGGCATTTCTGTAAGCCGCAACCAGCAACCGATTCCAACTAATCCAATAATCAACATCACTTCGGCTATTATACTTTCAGCGGAGCGTTTGCACAACGATCGAGTGGTCATTGTCGTTATCATTAACGCTATCATCATCGTTATCATCGTCGTAATCATCTCATCAGCGTACAGCAGATGATCATTCCAACGTAGTTGAACCAATCCCATCCACAATCTTCCCATAAAATTGTCTAATCGTTTGCAAGCTCACATCATCATCATTGTTGTTGTTGTTAAAGTGTTGTGTTGTTGTTGTTGTTAAGTAACGACCGAACAACAAAAAATGTAAATATTACTCTTTTTATTTTTGTTATTATTATAATTGTAGTAGTGATTGTTGTTGCTGTTGCTATACTAGTATAACTATTTACTACTAATAATAATAACACTGGTAGTAGTAGTATTAAAAGTAGTGGTTGTTATTATAGTTGTATTATTTTTTTTAATTTTATTATCATTATTATCATTGTTGTTGTTATTATTATTAGTTGTTGTTTTTGTAATTGTAGTGGTAGTAAGAGTAATAGTAGTACTGCTAGTAACACTAGTAGTAGTAGTAATAATAGTAGTAGTAGTGTTGTAGTAGTAGTCGCATTAGTGTAGTAGTGGTAATAGTAGTAGTAGTAGTAGTAGTAGTAGTAGTAGTAGTAGTAGTAGTAGTAGTAGTAGTAGTAGTAGTAGTAGTAGTAGTATTAGTAGTAGTAGTAGTAGTAGTAGTAGTTTAGTAATAATGGTAAGAGAAGTAGAATATTGCTAGCGTTGCCATTACTAATACTACTACTATAAAATACTATTATTATATTATTACTGTCTATCACATGGAAGAAAGTTGTGAAATGCAGTTTACAAGCACACTCAAAACAACAATTATTGGCGAAATATTCCTGAGCATGGTGTTGAGCCTAGAACCCTCAGGAACAATCTAGAACACTCAAGAGCAATCTAGAAAATTCAAAAACAAACTAGAACAATTTAAAACACTCCAGAACAATCTTAAACAATCTATAACACACTAGAACAATCTAGAACATTCTTGAACACTTTAGAATAATCTAGAACAATCTAGAAAACTTTAAAACATTCTAAAACACTCTTGAAAATCTAAAACAAACTAGAACAATTTAGAAAACTCTAGAAAAATCTATAACACTCTAGAGCAATCTTGAACCAATTTAAACACTCTACAACATTCTAGAACACCCTAGAACAACAACAACAACAACACACGTTTAGACGACATTTTCCCCGAGATTGGGGGTTGCCGTTTGGCTACCTATGATGAAACCATTGTCACTTCTGCCATCATAAGTAATTTATTTGGCTAATTTTTACGCAGGACGCCCTTCCTTACGCAACCACAGTTATAAGCGGTGGGCCTAGCCTTTGATGATCCAACATCACTCACAAGGCAGTGAGGGTCAGTTTAATGTCATAACCAGGACATGAACACCCTAGAACAATCTAAAAAATCCTTAAACACCCTAGAATAATCTAGAACAATCTAGAACACTCTAAAACAATCTAAAATACTTTAAAATATTCTAAAACATTCTTGAATAATCTAAAACATACAAAAACAATTTAGAACCCTCTAAAACAATGTAAAACATTCTAGTGCAATTTTGAACACTTTTGAACACTCTAGAATAATCTAGAACCATCTAGAACACTCTCGAAAATTTTTGAATTCTATAGAATGATCTAGAACAATCTAGTAAAATTTAAAACACTCGAGGGAAATCTAGAACCATCTAGAACAATTTAAAGCACTTTAGAACGCTCTAGAGCGATGTAGAACTCTCTAGAACACTCAAAACAATCTAGAACAATCTAGAACACTCAAAACATTCTTAAACAGGAATCCCTGAAAAAAAGTCTTCAGGAAAAAAAGTCTTCAGAAAAAATATCTTCGGAAAAAAAGTCTTCAAGAAAAAATGTCTTCAAGAAAAAACGTCTTCAAGAAAAAATGTCTTCAAGAAAAAAAGTCTTCAAGAAAAAAGTCTTAAAAAAAATTTATTCAACAAAATTACCTTCAAAAACATTTTAAAAATTATGTTTAGAGGTCAATGACAAATAAAAAATATCTCTATAAATGTCTATCGCATAAAATACACTTAAATCATTGGTAAATTTTTCCTATTTAACACAATACAGTGTCCAATGGCTCTTAAAGCCTCCAATGTAGATCTTCGGCCATCTCTAACGTCTTTGCACAATCGTTCCATTCTTTCTTGGAAATATTTTGACTGTCGTTTTTTCGGCTTATTTATTTGAATTCCTCGGTCAATTTGACCAATAGATGTTAGAGCAGATGTTTGATCTTTTTTGATGGCACTGATTAAAGTCCATAACGATGGATTAAAATGGCCAATTAAATTGTGGAAACTATTACTCCAACCTCACAAACGTTATTAGTTCTTTCATGACCATTGGTTATCGTAAAAACGTTCCATGTTTCGGGTGGAAATAGAGCAGGCATTCGGATCAACCTAATTT